CTTCGCCCTGAAACCTCCACCCCTTGTCCTTCTCTTTCAGTACGAGGTCAAAGTTTTCACCTTATCTGGAAGCCATCAGCAATACCAGTCCCACCTCTGTGACTCATTTAGTTGAAACTGTTGCAACTCGTTAAAATCTTACACGTCTCTTCTTTTCTGAGGTGTTGAAATACCCTACACACATATTTGAGTGATCCTTACAGGAAAGGAAATCCAGATCAAAGTTATAGCACTTATTGTCTCAACCACGGCAATATTAGGAGGGTGGTGGAAGAGAAGGATTTTTTTTTTCCTGCTGTGATCCAGTTTACTATTTTGGCAGAGTCTTTCTTCTCACTGTGTGGTCATGTGGGAGATCAATGTTGCCGGTAGCGTTTGAGGACACTGGCTGACTGCAGTCTGACACAGAAGCTACATAGGCAGCGAGGGAAAGTGAGGCAGTGTTAAAGAGACATAAAGGAGCCAGAGCAAACTGAGCTCCAGGGTGAGGAATGCAAGTGATACTTTTTCCGGATCTTTTTTATCCTTCCATTAACCATCTTTTCGGCCACCTCCTTCTCAACATCTCCTTCCTTGCACTTCAACTTCAGCCTTGCCAAACTTCAAGTTCAGCCATCCATCCATCCAGCCCCCTGTCTCGTCTTTCGCCCTCCCCCTTTCTCGCTCTCCTCAGACAGACACAGCTACCCTCCTGGACGTTTCCTTTCTGCTGGCCTGCCCCAACAAAGGTGCTCAGTCATGTGAAACCTAATCTCAAGCCCCCCAAAACCTGACCCTTGACCTCCTCAGTCTTCACACAGCCAGAGGGGGAGGGGAGCCAGGCCAGGAAAGGGAGGCTTTTGGGGAAAGGTCACATTCCCGAAGACACTTTTGTGTATGCACGTGTGTGTGTGTGTGTGTGTGTGTGTGTGTGTGTGTGTGTGTGTGTGTGTGTGTGTGTGTGCATGCATGTCTCCTTGATTATGTTTCCGTCCCAGATCTGCATTATATGACATTGAACTTATTGCTGTTGTTGTTTAACGTTGATCAAGTTTGCCAGCAATGTATGTAAAGTTTAGTCTCAGGTGAATGTGTTCGTTACTACATATACTGTATGAGTGTAGGTGCATGTTTGGGTGAAAACATTTCAGCCCCGAAGCGTTATTGCCTATAGACAAAACACAGACTTTGTTTTCTTGCTGGGCCAGTCTGGGCAGAGCTCCTCTCTTACACCCTGGCCTAGTGCAATCTTCAGATGTGTGCTTGCATGGCTGTGTGTGTGTGAGTGTGTGTGGCACTGAGTGTCAGCTGTCCTGGGTGATTAGTGCTTTCATATTGTGCCGAGGAGTCCGGACGAGGCCCCCTCTTCACTGCTCGACCGCACAGCTGCAGTCTGCCTCTCCATCTCTACTCTTCAGCCTTCCTTTTCTCGCAGACACTCAAAAAGCAAGTCCAATCCAGAGTCTAAAACTAGAGGAAGAAGAATGGAGGTAATCAGAAGAGCAGCAAATGAGGACTAGGGTCATATTATGAGGATTAGAGAGGGGATTCAACACACAGGGTTTCTCCTGGACAGGATTTCCTCAGCTATGCTTGGGAGACCAACCTTGCTTTATACACACACAGGCAAGTCAGTACACAGGGATGAAGTTGGAGAGTAAATGAGAGCAAAAGCGGGAGGATGGTCGCTATATCTTCCATAATGTTTGTGAACTACAGTATACCGGTACCCTCAGTTACCTACAGGAACCAACACAAACCTATATGTACCCCCGATAAGAGCAGCCAAAAAGTAGTGTAACATCACACGTTTATTGATTTTCCTCAGTCAAAAAAAAGAGTTTCTGTTCATAATCTGTTTACGTATGGATTAGAAGTGCCAAGTATGTCTGCTATGTATGGGTTGTTACTGCTTTCGGATTTGTGAGCTGGCCATTGTTGGTCTCTTGACATTGAACTTGGAAGATGGGGAGGGTGCGGGAGAACACACACAAGCTAACAATTCCTCTCCCAACACCCACCCGACCAGCCCCACTTCCTTACAACTCTGCTTTATCTTAACTGTCAACACCTGGCCTAAGCAGGAACCTCTTTCTATCTGTGAACTTTAATCTGGCCCTGCTAGGCAAACAGCACCATGGCTAGGACAAGAAGAGTGATTACTCTGTCACATTGCCCTCCGGTTCCTCAGCAGGCAGGGGAGGGAAGATTGGAAGAAAAGGGATTTGGACACGGGAAGATATTTATAAAGTTGAATATCTAAAAAAATGGACGGGCACATGTTGTGCGCTGAGACAAGAAAACAAGCTGAAAATGTGGTGTGGAAGGACAGCAGGCAGGACAAAGATGAGCGCTGATAGCGGAAGAAACAGGATGAAATATACTTAGGTAACTTGAAAGAGCCACATGAGAGCGGCCTCTTTTCAGGAGGAGTTTGAAGGATTTCATAAGAAATGGATAAGAAATGGAAATGGATTTTATTGGACACTCATGGATAAAATACAACATCGCTGGCTTCGCATCTACTCACATTTTGAATAACTTGTTCATGTAAGAAATAATGCAAAAAGAATCTGGCAGCAGGATTTGGGGGAGGATAAGAGGTGGAGGACAAGCAACTTCTGCGCATCAATGACATATTGGCACTTTATGCTTTTCTGGTGCTCCATGTGAACAGACAGTTTCAACAGCACTGTTACACCCGAAATGTTTCCAAAACAGAAAGGAGCAAAAACTCAATTTTACTACGTACTCATTTTTGTTGTAATCTGTCCACAGGGCTCGATTTTTGTGACCAGCATAAATGCTGCGCAACGCCTGGCTTAGCTGTGGGTTAGACTCCATTATGTTTATTTGGCAGGCAAGTGCCGGCCAGCAAATCTGCGAAAGGAAGGGCTGCCATGCTGTGGGAGTGGTCACAATCAACTTCAAGCATGGTTAGTCAAAGCAGCTCCTTTGATTGCCTTTAAATGGGGCCCACCAGTCACATACTACAATCTACTCACCTAATTGTTCATGTGCCCCCTTCATAGTTGTGCCTCCCAGTTGGATGATCTCTAAATTATTATACAATTTGGAAGGATACATGCAAGCCGTCACTGGAATCGTCACTAAGCTGGTCAATACTGATGGACCTTCTTAGTCCATCACTGACTTACTGTTTCACTAACAACTTCCTGAAACACGTCGCATGTCTCGCATGTGTTTGTGCGATGGAGTTTCTTCAAGGGGAGAGGAGGAGTGGCTTCTCGGACAGAAAAAAATAGATTGCTAGTCAATCTGGTGACTGGTGGTTGTGTTGGTTGCTAAATGCTATCTTAGAAGACAGTTCAACAGCCATGTAAACAAGTCAATACATTCACCAGATATATCAACTTTCACACTCCCCATTCTCCAAGTCTGATCCTTTTTTGTCTTGGTTCCAGCCTGTTTAGGAAACTGGCTGTGTTGTACACGTCTTTGTCCCACATATCGCAACGCTATTGTCCAACATTGTTTTCATGAAACCCCACCACGTGTGACGTTGTATGTACGTTCTCAATGATGTGGCGGATGCGATGCTGCTGAAGAAAAAAAGAAGAAAGTCTTAAAATAGTGGGGATGAACTGTAATAATTTGTTTAATAAATATTTTAAAACTCGAAAAATAACATTTAAAAAACAACCGCAATTTAATGATTCAGAAAGTGTGGTTAAAGTAATGATGACGGACTGGCTGACGGTCCTAACAGCAGTGACAAACTGTAATTTAACGATGACGGAAGCATGGTTAAACTAACGATCACGGACTGGCGATGGATTTGAAATGACACACTGACGATGACAGACGGGTGGACCCAGCCGCTGGAAAATGACGAATGACGGCCGGGCAAAATTGACTGACGTCCCAACTCAAGCCAGAACTAAACGAACAGACCAACAGTTCAATATAAAGTACAATTTCTACCATCTAAAATGGTGAAAAAAACCCTAAAATAGCGCTTTGACTTACCCAAGTCGCTCCTTATCTCCTGAGTAAAATTTGTTAGTGTCACGACAGACCAGAATAGTTGACACAATTTTGAGTGAATTACCAATATTGGTCTCACAACACGTCTAAGTCTGTGTCTGACTATTTTTAAGTAGGCTTTAGTGGACTAGCATTTTTTGGCATTTGCTCTGGTGTTTATGCTTGGTGCCAAATGTTATGCAATAAGATGGCAGCGTTGGCTTGTAAAGTTTTTTGTTGTTTTATGTTTAGGAGCTGATTAACGTGTTCAAGTTCTGGCCTGAAAATGATTGTTTTTATGTTTAACTGTGAACAGTTATGAACTTTTAAACCATGAAAATATTTAGAATGGGTGAAAGAGTGACGACTGTTGATTCAGTTGCCTCACAGAACAGAGGACGAGGGTCCATCCTGTGTGGAGTTAGCATGTCCGCGGCTGTGTGGGTTTTCTACGGGTACTCCGTTTTCCTCCCAAATTCCAAACACAAGCATGGTAGGCTAAGTGAATACCCTAATTTGTCCCGAGGTATGATTGTCAGTGTGAGTGGTTGTTTGTCTCTACAATTGGCCGGCAACCGGTTCAGGGTGTACCATGCCTTCTGCCCGAAGTCAGCTGTGACAGCTAGGTTCAACTCAGAAAAGACGTCTGAAGCAGTCCGCTCACATGAATACATTTAATCATAAAGCATCTCTGGTGCGTAAGATGTATTTTAGTCACATCTTTTGTATTTTTCTGTTATTTGATGAACCTTCATTCTTAACTGTTCCAGATGATGATATGTTGAATTTTGTATTATATTGATGGTTTCTTGAATTTCAATGTGATAGTGGAAAGATGTGGCTTCTACTTTGTGTGTGTGTGTGTGTGTGTGTGTGTGAAAAAATATATATATAGATAGATAGATAGATAGATAGATAGATAGATAGATAGATAGATAGATAGATAGATAGATAGATCGATATATACACACACGCACACATACGCACTCACACATATGAAGAACAGCAACACGTCATAATCACATCATATACAGTATGTATGTCATACGTTTTATTTTTTTCCCAAGACAAAATGGCTGAGTGACGAGGAAAAATGCAGGCAACAGCTGAAGACAGTGGCATTTCCATAAATGAAAAATAATGACAACATTTGTATGCTGACCAGGAACTCTTAAATGTTGATCTGTGACCCTTGGTCATCAAAGAGAGAAACCAAGCCAACAGAATTCATCACAAAGGAAGCGGGAGTGGGCAGTGGTCAATAAACGGACACATTTCGCTGTTCTGAACAGAGCATATACTGAATGCGGGTGTGCAGTCATAATAAATAATGTCAACCAATGTCAACTTCAAGTTCACTTGATAGCAGATACGAGTGCACAGACTGTTGTCAGACTTCAACATGAATGTGCATCAGTACCATCTGCTATAAAAACAGGTTGCAAACCTCTTTCTGTCATTCTCTCATATTGACACTATAACTTCCATATGGTATGACATGTACCCTATGTAAATCAATCACTGTGGTTGTTTTGGCAAAGTCAAATTACAACAGGAAATAAATTCAAAATAACAAAAATAAAAATTCAGCAAAAGAAAAATTCAGATTTCGGATGGATTGATTGCATATGAAAAAAAACATTATTTTTCATCAACAGCTGGAATGTTATCAGGTGGTACATGCTTCAGGACAGTAAAAAGTTGGCTAACAATAAAAACCCAACAATCGCTTGTATTACTGCATATAAAATGGCAGGAAACAAACATCGAAAGAAAAACTAAAAAGAATATGTACAACCACCTGTTTTTACCTCATTGTGGTAAGTCCAGGACTGCCTGAAAAAGTCATCATATGACCTCTCACCCTTGAAGAACACCACCACATTTTAGTTTGGAAAAATGATCTTATTTTCAAGCATACAAATTATTCACACTATATTATCCTGCCAAATTAAGAAAATATACGGAGGCAGCTTGTTGGGATTTTTTTTTTCACTACAGAAAAAAAGGGTACATTGAAACCTTTAAAGAGTACAGGCAAAACCATTAAAAATACAGGCTCCAACATAAATACTATAAGTGCCTACACTAAGTGAACATTAATTTCAAATGCAATTCTAAATACAAAAAAAGTCGACCATTAATGTATTTTGAACTTAGGAACTTACATGAGTGTGCATCTTCCTATGAGTTTTAAGTTCTCTCTATATATTTATTTTTCAAATAGCTTCCCCCCGATGCAAAGTATTTTGTTCAACCTGAAGACTTGTGTACAGTAAAGGCAAAAAAGATACATGTTCATTACAATTCAATACATAGTGATCAAGTCGTGAATGTCAACAAGACAAGAAAGAGAATCAACGTCACAAATCAAAAATACAATTTAAATAAAACTCCCCCCCAAAAGACAATGACATGTACTGACATGTATTTTAAAAAATCAGCAACACAATTTAGTTAGTTAAAAACAAAACAAAACCAAAAAAAAAAAAGTTTACGTTTTTCTGTATTGAAGGGTGTATTTTTAGGGTTAGTATCATGCAGGGGATTTCAATGGCATTTTCTGCACTGCACCCAATTTAACCAAACTGAGGTTTCCCTCTCAAAACATATCTAGCAAAGATTTTAATTTGATTTTTTCTTCTTGTTTTTTTCTTCTTCTTTTCAGGTTTGGTTTAGTTATTTCTAGTTTTTTAATTTTTTTTTTTTAAAGGACACCACAGTTACTGCAAAGGTCAGCACAAGAGCCAAAATTTTCCCTTGAGCATCCACTTGTAAACTGGGGGAACAGAACAGTGCACGCAAATCGTCCCAGATATGCAATCTGGTCCTCATTTTATACTCAACCGACTGTACCTCCGATTAGAGAGACAGATACAGACTGTAGGCAGAGTGACAAGTGCTATAATCATGAAAAAAATGGCAAGGTGGTGAGAGGAAATACGCCAATAAAAATTTGTTAAAACAAGTGTTTGAAAAAGAAGACAAATACTGTGTGTGTGTGTGTGTGTGTGTGTGTGTGTGTGTGTGTGTGTGTGTGTGTGTGTGGAGGAGGGTAAAGATTTTAAATCTGGACATTTGTTGCCAATATGAGTTTCTAAAAATGTTCAAATCTAATGCAGTCAAGACAGTAAAGAGGGCATAGAACGTTTGAATTGCAGAGACAACCGGTAATTCCCATTCCCTTGCGATAAACCCGACCCACATCAACTATCACCACCATCATCAAAATCCAAATCTGCCTGATGACAAAAAAACAAAACAAAACAAAAAAAAAAACCTAAAAACCGACTCGTGGTCTTCAAGTTGATGTTGGCTACACAGACTGCCCGGGTGAGACTAAAAAACTGTGTTAAACACACACACACACGCACGCACGCACGCACGCACGCACGCACGCACGCACGCACGCACGCACACACACACACACACACACACACACACACACACAAATTACATTTTCACACTCTGGAAAATTAAGAGCTTCACGTTGGTTGAAACAACTCATCAGAGTACCCTCTCAGTATGATACACAACCTCCACAAACCTTTTGAGCATGTTACATGCCAGTAAACAGAATTACAATCTGAAGAATGAAAATATACAGTCAGGCAGATAAATGATTGACCAGAAATAAACAGGATTTTTTTTTTTCCCAGCTGGTTTCTTAATGCTCTGCTCAGCCACAACACGACAAGGTTGTATAGGTGCTTGATGCAAGGACCTGTTTATTCCGTATGTGCACAAAATGTCCTGTAATCATCTACATCTGAAACGCCGAGCTTATAGCAAAAGGAGGATTAACTAATGCAGGTAAAATATCCAAGGCACTCTTTGTTGTCATTTTACACCATAGTATTAATTTCATTGTTTGTAAAAGAAATAAGTCACGGTGCTTGTGCCTAGCATTTCATAGGCAGCCCAAACCTTGTATATATATTTATGTACATATAGGTATTTTATGTCTATCTTGCATGGAAAATCATTCAAAAAGATCAGTTTTAAATGTAACCCTGCTTTTTCTTGACGTTTGAATAATATGACACTGTTCCAATCTGCTTGGGAACGAAACTGTACATGATATGTAAAAAGAGCACGTACTTTCTGCAGCGAGAGTTCAAATATGATGGCTAAATCAAAAAGGATCAACAGCAACACGAGTACAACCAAACCCACCAGTCACTGATAGTTTTAGAGTAGCCATGAACACACCAAGCATGCTGTCCAGTTACAAAAAAAGATATAAAAGGTGTAAATTATTGCACAATAGAAAGGCTCATTTTTTTTTTTTGTTTTGTTTCATACGAGAGAATTGCCCCAGTGTTCGGGAACGATAACAGGGCTGTACTGTGTACTGTTGTCTGACCCTGTAGTCCATTCCATTCATGTATTGGCTACATAGCCAGGGTTGCATTTTAGCCAAAGGAGCTGAAAGAGAAAGCGGACAACATGCTGTTCTTTGCCTACTCAGTCTTAATGTTGTTCGCTAAAGGACGGTCACTGTGCCACTTCTTCATGTGTTTCTCGAGAGTACTGTAGACACTGAAAGGCATGTGGCATATTTCACATTTGTAAACGTCTTTTCCCATTTGTCCGTGGGTTTTCATGTGGCGCGTGAGCTTGGAGCTCTGGGCGCAGGCATAGCTGCACAGCTCACACTTGTAGGGTCGCTCTCCGGTGTGACTGCGTCGGTGCACTGTCAAGTTGCTGCAGTTCTTGAAAACCTTCCCGCAAAACTCACACGTGTCACTGCGGCGGCCGTCCTTGGAGCTCGGCCTCCCGTTTCCGCTGCCACCGTGGGGTGTGCTGGCCCCGCTGCCCGTGCCACTGCGTCCCGAAGCGGCCCGTTCGCCGTCGAGCTCGCCGGGCGGAGTCGAGAAGCGCAAGCTACCGTTCTCGGACGAGTGCTCGGATGAAGAGGCAAAGGGCGATTGTCTGGAATCTCCACCAGTAAAGTTGATGAAGGGGTCCTTGAGTTGTCGCGAGGCAGCATAGCCTGCTAGCCACTGGGAATAGACGTTTTCTGAGTTTGCGATAGTGGGCGTAGGGGGATCTAGATCCTTTTCCACCTTGATACGTTTCGACAGAGGACTCAGGGAGCCTGGGCTAATGCCTCCACCCAACAACTTTCTGGATAGACCATCTGTGGATAAAGGTCCCAGACCATTAATTGCCGTCGTGGTCACATCATCTGCTCGGTCTGACTCCAATGCTGAATCCTCATCAGCGGGCTCCTGTGAGGAGCTCCGACGCCGAGGATGCAGGGCCACGCTGTTCTGGTGGTGGCGAGCCCCTTCTAACCTCAGGCTAAAGCGATAGTCGTTCCTCTCCTCTTCGAGATCTCTAACCACAGGCTTACCGTCCATCTCCTCCTCCTCACCCTCTTCCTCCTCTTCTTCCTCTTCCTCCTCTTCTTCCTCTTCCTCCTGTTCCTCCTCCTCCTCCTCATCATCATCATCCTCATCCTCCACTTCTTCTCCATTTTCGGCCATCAGACCATTGTTCCCACTCTTGAACTTCGCCACGACTGACTTGAGAGCATCAGTGGCACTGCCCATCAGCTCACTGGTACCAGGTTCAGGGGAGCTGGCCGTCGAAAGACCATCTTCTGACTTGGTATTAAGCACCAAAGACTTGTTCTGACAGTGGGTCTTCATGTGTCGTTTTAGCTTACTTGCCTGGGTGCATGCGTGGTTACACAGATGACACTTGAATGGCTTTTCACCTGTGTGGCTACGTCTGTGCACAATAAGGTTACTCTGGAACTTGAAAGTTTTCCCACAGAACTCACAAGACTTTGCCTTCAACGGCGTGCCCGGCTGAGCTGCGCTGGATGCGGCATTGGGGGTAGTCCTCGAGCCAGAAGGTGACTGAGAGGTGGAAAGAGGTGGGGTCGCCGAGAATGGAGGCTTGGAACCTGGCTGGAATGGTTGAAGAATCCGTTGCATAGGGTTGGGCCGATTCGGGGAGAGAGGAGGTGAGGCTCCTGTGGCATTTCCAGCCAGTTCACGGAGCCTTCTGGAGAAGTCCATATTTGGGGGAGGTTCAAGTGGTATTGAATTAAGCCTCATCACCCTGTCAAAGGCGCTAGGATGGTGGGTTGCCAGGGCCAGGTCATCGGGACTGAGGTGATGACGCGGGGGTGGGCTGAACAGGGGTGGGGTCCGGGGATAACGGCCCTCTCGAGGAGTCGATACTGAATCTCGTCCGGACCCAGACCCCGGCATTCGCAGCAGGCTGTAAGGACTGCCTTCAGCCAGGTGCACAGCATGAAGTGCAGGCTGGGACGAGGCACACTCACCCCCCATCCCGGGAGCCGCAGCTACACGAGGGGTGAGCGGACTGCCTGGCTCACTCTCCAGATAGATGCGGAAACCGTGGGTGTTCTGAGCATGCTGGAGAAGGAACCAGGCGCTGGTGAAGGGCTGCTTGCATGTGGTGCAGGTGTAACTGCTAGGCTCATCTTTATCTGTCCAAAAAGAAAAAAAAAACATGTTATTGAAAGGTGAAAACAAGGACTCTTTGCAGGATTTTTAATGAAGACAAACAATATCAACACTGTATGAAGAGCTATCTTTCAAAAGGCCGTTTTATGCTGTTAAATCAATTTGCCAGTTCAGTCAGATCATGTTGAACAATAACAAAAAAAAAAAATCCCACGTTAAAAAATGCATCCATCCATCCATCCATTTTCAACACTGCATACCCTGCTGAGGGTGATAAGCAGCTGGAGTGTATTCCAGCTGACTAAGGAGCACCTTGCCAGTCAGTCCCAGTGCACATATAGAGACACCAGACCATTCAACACTCTCAATTCACACCAACACTGAGTGAGAACTGAACCCACACTGACTCACCAAAATCCAGTAACATAATAATCACGAATTAAGGCAACAGTTTATTTATACATTTTTGTTCAAACACTTTCCAAGCGATCAAAACACACTACCTAATGAGTTTAGTCAAGTCAATTCAATCTGATTTATGCGGTGCAACAGACACAAAACAAGTCATCTCAAGGCACTTTACATCAGGAGCAGGTCTTTTAACACACACTTCATACATTAACACACTGAACACCAAGTGAACAAGGACTGTACGATACCGGTCAGTGAGGCAACAAAAGCAATAGTGTTTTCCATCGAATGTGCACTCTCACTGCCTCTCAGAAATTATCCCCAAAATTGACTAGGTAGATGAAAACACAATAGGACAATATCATGACAAGATAAACAAGGCTAAGGAGCTGGATGTTGGGAAACATTAATTGGTTGCTGATTGGTTGAAATATATGACACATTCAGTGATTTGTAATATATAACTGCAGTTCTATTGTTATGTTGCAGCATGAGTTATAATTCTGGAAAACTGTTCTTAAAATGTTATATTATTGTTTCATTATTATTAATACACTCAAGTATTTTTCTAAATTATTATTACTAATTTTATTTAACTACACTACTTTATAGATTAGACCTAAGAGACATTTGGGCCTATTTTGTCACGAGTTGTTTGAGGACAGAAATCAATGAGATTCGATTAATATTCTAGCATACAAACTATAAATTTAAAGAAAGGCATGTGCATGAAATACTGTACCAAACAAAAAAAAAATTATAGAAAAACCCCCCCAACAACGATTAGATCATTTTAAAAGCTGCAAAAGCTGCCCACCTCTGTGGCTTTTTTACACAGTAAGAGAGCGAGAGCGCACGTTGTATTTAATGCTGCATATATACTGTGAATATAAATACAAGGTCACATATTAAAATACAGTGCCACCGCATTTTTCAAGAAGAGACCCCCATTATAAGCAAAATTGTTACTAGGGATGCACTTTTCAAAATGCATTTCATGCATTGCTTTTATATCTTATGTTGTATGGATTTATTTAAATCCTCTCAGGTGAATAGAATAGGAGAAGGTGGGGAAAGCAGAAGTGAGAGATATGCTAAATAAAAAGCACCCGCCACTTGCAAATGTGCACCGTCTGTCATCTCTTGCCTTCCCTATATATTTCTTTTTTCTCTTTTTTTCCCCATTAGGGGACTGATTTCTGAAATGATTTGCAAAAGAGACAAAACAAAATGACTGATACGCTGGTGGCCAACGAGGAGTACGAGGAAGACGTAAGATTGCCCGAGAGTGTGACTGTGCGTATGAGCGATCCCTAAGATGGTGGACAGGCTTGCATGTTTAAAAGCTGCGGTGGCAGCGAGACAAAGAGGTGAAGATGGGACAGGAAGAGGAGACTTGTTGAGAGAAAAGAAGTATGCTGTGGATGAGCAATAATGGGAACCGAAGGGTGTTTTGTGTGCTTCCTTTCTATCTCGTGTGTCCATAACCGTCGTGGCCCCCTCCGAACAATCTCACTTAAAGACCAGGACATGGCATAAAATGTGCACCCAATCAGAGCTCCATGCAAACCTCTTTCTTCTGAATGAAAGGAGTTGGAAGGGGGTATACGGGTAAATTATGGATCATTACAATCTGAAAAAAATTACAGTTAATTGTTGCCACCTGCAAGGGGCTTTGACCCAGTATGGAATTTTTCCATCATAAACAGCCATTTGTCCATACATGCTTTTTCTCCCTCTCTCACAAGCAAATTTGCTCATAACACCGACTTTGGCGGAACATACGATTCCCGAGACAGTTTTTTTTTTTTTTTTAATGGTTTATGGCTGCAATAACTTGACGTCTACAGTTCACTTTGATTTGATTAGCAGCCTGTACATATATCCTTGCCTTGTGTGTGAACAGATGGTGTATATATATGTATGAGGAGGAAAACATATTTTTTTTTCTGTTACTGCAAACGACAAAAGACATATCGCAGGGAGCATGGAGTGGTGGTGAGGGGGGTATGGGATGGCTCCTCTGAGACACTTTGCAATCGACGGGAGAAAGGAAAGCACTGCAGGATCTTGGAAGTAAAAAAAGAAAGCAGGGAAGGCGGATCAGGGGAAGGGGAGAAGTGTGGCGTGAAGGGGACATTCCTAATGACACGTCTCTGAAGGACACAACACAGCACTTCCATGTCTAGTGAATTCATTTTCCTAGGTGACAAAAGCATGGCTTGTGCAATTCCCCGAATTAGTCAGTGTTCATGCCACAAGCAACAAAAAAATTGTTATTCTAGCAAGGCAGTGAACACACTGATGGGCGTGAAAAAAAAATCAACCAAAGCAGGCTCAGCCTCATGACAGCGGATAACTTAACAAGTCCACTTTTTTCCCCATTAATAGCTGTCCTCTAAAAGACGGAAGCACAGATTTTAAAAAGGAGAAACATTATTCTGACATGCTATATGATGACCTCGAAGGGCTTTTTATACCATAGGAAAGCAGCGAGATGTGTGAGGCAAGAATGATTTTAGAAACACATCTGTCCTCTAATGGAATAAAGAAGTACTCATTCTCACTGTCTGTCTCTCCCCTTCCAGTATGTGGTGAGTTAGGACCGGAGAGTAGAAGAGCTTGGCCTAATGCTGGATCTCTTAGTCCCTTTGAAATAGGATCAGCCGAAACGAGAAACCACACTGACAACCCCGCAGCTACCATTTCATGGTGAGGGCTGAGAAAGGGGTCTTTTGGGGAGTAATGGTAAAGAAGCCGAAATTAAAAGTGAAAAGAGAAAGATGGGGGGGGGGGGAGATATGGTAGACAGAGGAAACAGTATGAAGAGGTACGAGGCATAGAAACAGCCAAAGAAAGAAGAGGGAGGTTAACAAGTCCTTCAAAGTCATTTCATCACATCGCAACACAAAGATGTCGATGAAATGTGGTCATTTTGATAATTGGCAGAGACAATGATGCAGAGTGTGTTTTACAACATGCAACACAAAAATACACAAGTAAAAAAATTGCACCTTAAAAAGATGGGGTCACCTGTGGATGCCGACGCCACACTCACAGCAGCACTCTTCTAGAAACGGTGTTGATCGTGTACATTTTCTAAGCACACTCGACCGATTAATCGAGTGGCCGATTAAATCAGCCGATTAGGGCGATTCAGACATCGGCCAAAATGGCTAATTTTTGCTGATTGTTTTTACCTTTATGTACTCTAACCATTTTCCAGCAGTTGTACACAAGACTGGTCGCATTACTTATTATACCTAAATCTATAGCCTACCTTAACCTTGAAAGCTTAAATATATACAGTTACATTTGTTGATAAGGTCATTCTAGGGCCCTGTCATTCAAAACAAAGCAAACCCTAATTTTTACAAGCAATGCTTATGTGAATAATGCAAGTTGTGCAGGGCATTGACCTGAATGTCACTATTTTACATACAACCTAAAGTCACAGTTTGTTTCAAAATAATTTTAAAAAACAAAGTAAAAACTGCAATATAAATTAGACACAAATGTATTAAATATGACACTCATACAATTATTGATAATTTGAAAAACACATATGAGAGAGATGAATATCCTGATAACTTCATTAATTAAATACATTGCCTCCTGCAATGCATTATGGGAACCCAAAAGGAAAGTTATTCTTTTGAACAATATATTTACAGTTGATGCCTGCCATTCTTGGTGAATAGGCACCAGAACAGCCTGCAAAAAGCAAAAAAATCCATGTATAATTGATGCCCACTGAAATGCATTTGGGGGTAAAAAAATATATATTTAATGCTTTTGCGCATTATATATATATAGAGAGAGAGAGAGAGAGAGAGATATATATATATTTAATGCTTTTGCGCATTAGATAGATAGATAGATAGATAGATAGATAGATAGATAGATAGATAGATAGATAGATAGATAGATAGATAGATAGATAGATAGATAGATAACTTTTAAATAATTGGTAATCTGTATTTTTTTTGTATGCAAAAAAATCTGCATATCGATTGGGCTCTGTTTAAGATGGGTTCATTGCTGGTGACCCAACCCCCAAATCCAGTCGAACACATGCTGGAAACCTGCGCAAATATCAAGTGATGTCACCGATTAATTGCTGTGCTCCATTAATTTTATTTTATTATTATTATTATTTTATTTTTTTTTTTTTTTGCCCAAACTTTATAAGAGCATGTTCATTACGGTGCATATTGTCAAGGTTGGACACCTGTGTCCTGAAGTCGGCAATGATACCCACTATCTTGCGAGGAATCAAGTTTGCGCAGTCACAAATTAATTAAAACATTACTGGATCCACTATGTGGATCACCACCAAAATGTCATGTTGTTTTTCGCTAAAGGGTTGTTGATGTATGATTTCTAAAACAGCACGCATGAGCACATCGCATTAAGGTGTGTCTGTGCTGCTCCAGTTTTTCCTTTTGCAGCACAAACATGGAGGAGGACAAGCAGCTGGTTGTAGAATGGCATGCAAATTAAAAAAACAAAAAACAAAAAACTTTGGGATAATTTTGCTAAAGTAGTGTTATACAAAACACAAAACACCATAAAACTCATATTTTCACGATAATGTTATCCGGTAAATGAG